CTCTTTCCCCATCGCTATCCCCACCCCTATCTCTATCCCTATACCCCGTTATTATGGATACAGCTCAACTACAGGGACAGAATCCCTCCTCTCTGAGTCCTGCTCTGATCTTGTGCTGACAGATGGTGTTCAGACTGAACCATTGAGAGCACTTTCCCTGCCACAGGGGTGTCCAGCTCGGGTCCTCCAGGGCCAGCTGTCCTGCAGGTTGTCTTATGAGACCACTTACTGACAACATTAGACTTTATTTAACCAGCATGTGGGAATAAATGTCTGTAGGAGAATGCAGACGGCTGCTCGACTGCCATTAAGGCTGTGAACTAAGCTGGTTCTTTCTCCTTTACACCTTCTTCCAGTAGGTGTCATTATCAGACAGCCGTATGTGAAAACAGGGGAAACTACTCAGTCGTTGGACTAAGGCTTAAAGTGAGGAGGACTGTGCACCTGCCCATATCCACAGCTTTCCTGAGCGCCCCCTTGTGGCCGTCTCCCTGTTAGAGCAGGTCCCAGCAGCTCTGGGTAAACCTACCACACTGAAGGTCCTCTGGTCCAGCTCCTCAGACTCCTCGGAGCCGGGCACAGCGTCCGCCCCCGCCGTTATGTGGGCCGACACCTCCGAGGCCTTTTTACTCCGCTCTCGTACCTCCGCCTTTGTTTCAGCCTGGTGAAAATCAAACAGTTTGTTTAGGACTGACAGCTCCTCTACGGAGTAGAGAGGGTTTCATTCTCTGCTCACCTTTTCCGTGCCGTCCTCTTGTTTATGCGTGGCCTCCAGAGTCCTGGATTCTTTCTTCTCTTTTGCATCTTTGATGTTGCAGCTTTCCTCCTTCTCCTTTTTCCCTTCCTTTTCTTTGCCCTCCCTCTCCCCTGATGATGAAACCTCCTGCTCGGGCTCCTCTTCATCCTCCTCCTCCTCTTCCTCGTCGTCCTCCTCCTCTTCTTTCACCATCACCTTGTCTGGCCGGCTCCGTCTGCTCGATGCCTTCCCTGGTGGCATCTCCTGAGAGGGAGAAAAGGCTTCAGAACAAGCAGCAAACCAACTGCCTCTAAAGCAGCATCAATCTGAGCTAGCTTCATTTAGACCTACCTTCTCTTCATCAGCCTCATCTTCATCATCTGACCTCTTGTCTGAGGGGGGGTCGGAGGATGGGCTCTTGACCACCTCGTCCATTTTAGTTGTCTTCTGAGTTTTGCTTTTTTTGCTCCTTGGTTTCCTCTTCCGTGAATTTATCTGCATGAGCACAAACAGGCGTGTACAGTCGGACATGTCCCAGAAAGAGGAATCTTTAGAGACAAAGTGATTCTCAGACTTACTGTCCCGCTTTGTTTCTGTGCTTCTTTTTTGGCCAGGTCCTTGCTCAGTAATTTGATGAGGTAGTCTGCTCTGGTCTGTAGCTGTTTGGCCTGAGGCTTCTTGTCGGGGTCATCTGGTAGTAGCTGCTCAACAAACACAAAATAAAAGTGTTGTTTTCTGACAAACGGATTCAGTCAGAAGTCGGTGCATGCTCATTTGCTGTCAGGCGCCTTCATTGAAAGAACTACACAACCAGTAAGTTGATCAGCAACAGCCGGCGGCTCCGTCTCCCTCAGATACAAACACAGTAGGCAGCTTCTTACAGGAACATCAACGCCTGCTTTACAAATGCTGCAATAAGCCTCCCACTGTTTATTTCTGTGATTACACCAACAGTGTAGCTAACAGCTGTTTCTGTGGACATTTAAGCAGCTAAATGAATTGGAATTGATTGGATTACGACGGTATATGAAGTGAATACTAGTCCTTTGCAATAGGTTTATCCTATTAGAAAGAAATGATTCATCACTGTGAGCAAAACGATGTTCAGTGGCGTTGAACATTAGCCTCACACCAGGCCAGTAGTCGCTTAAACTCACAGGCGTTTAAACAAAAGGCTGATGAAGAAAGAAGTTTAGCATACTGCTTCAGGACAGTCCGAGTTCAGGAGTATAGCAAATCTAAAGAAGTCAATGAGACTGAAATCCTTGCCCTCTAAACGCTGGGATCCCTGCCATGCTGGAGGGAAAGCATCTGTCACCATCGGTTACGGACACTAACTAACAGCATTCCTCTGATGTGTTGCCGAGCCCACAGAGCATGGCTAACCCTAACCCTAACCCTAACCCTGACCCCTAGAGCAGGGGGCAAACTCCTGAGAGGACTGCATGTCCAAGGAGCCGGGCAGGACTACTGAAGGAAGATAGGGTACAACAGACCCATTAAAAGGGAAAGGCTAAAAGGGATCCTCAGAACTGTTGCACTGGGCCCTGCAGCTGGTTTGTGGGACTCACAGCTATACATCACTCCGTTCCACTGCTGTCATTAGTGTCTGTGGGCTGTAAAACGTGCACTGACCTTGTGTGTGAGATTCAGGTCTGGATCCATCTTGATCATCTCCCAGCTGCCATAACCATATTCATAGATTCCTATGAGAAGGCTCGAGTCGTCCTCTTTTCCCCAGTCAATGTCAAAATGTGCTGCCTTTGAGTGGCACGGTATCATGTACCTGGAGGAAGACACAAGCCAGCATTCAGTCCTGTTCAATTAGCCATATCCAACCAGTATTTCAGATTAAACATATACTCTAATACACATTTTATCTCTTGTTCCTTCCATGTTGTTCGACTTCGTCTTCAATTTCAAGTCCAACGTGCGTTTCTGGATGTACAATGTGAGGTCAGATCTCATATCGGGTCATATAGAGAGAACAGAAATCGTGGGCTGTGACCTTTGACCCCTTCGATTTGGTGCAGTTTGAGCTGGAGCTACGAGCAACGATTGGAAACATCCCACAGTGTACGCCGGCTTAAGAAGCACTCTGCTACTGATCCACAGATTGCATTGTGATGTCAGAGAAAACGCAAAAAGGCTGGAAAGCAACTGATTTAGCCAAAAACAGGGACAAATATGAGAGGAAAAGAATCCAGCGGACCCCGTTTCTCTGACTGGACAGACACTTGCATTATCATTTCTAACCGTTCCTGCGGGGAGAAAAAGGTGAGTCAAGCTGTGAGCCAACGACCGGCTGGATGGGGTCTGAACCAACCATCAGCAGAGCCCATCCCCTGTTCTGATTCACAGTGAAAACCTGAGGCAGAGGTCCCCTAAACCAGAGCAACACGTATGTGTATGATGCATTTCCAGATATAAAACCCCCTAAAGGAGCAAACCTCTGAAACGGCTTATATGAAATGACCCATCAACACCTGAACTTCCTCATCTGAACGCCACACAGGACAGAACATGCAGACAAACCCACCTGGAACACACATTTACTGTAAAATGAGCCTAAAACAGGAAGGTAACAGCGAGTCTGAGTATTACCTCTTCCTCTCCTCTGGGTCGGCAGGGATGGCCTTGTGTAGTGGAGCCAGTTCCTCCTCGTGGGAGATGACCAGTTTGGCATTGACCTGCACTCCAGAAATCCTGAACGTAGGACCTTTCACCTTCCCTCTCCGGCCTCCTAACATGACAAAAGCCTCTGTTAACTAAACACACATGCAGCCAGTGGCCTGTACAGTCAGTATGTAACCACACACAGGCTCTTTGGTCTGGGCCGGCTGAAGCCTGGGAGATAAAGGTCCCCGATGACGACGGGGACTCTGGCTCCTGGAGCCTCTGATCGTCCAGGGAAACATCAGGCGTGTGGAGACCCTTTGATAGAAGGCCATTCGCTGTGTTTGTATACCACCATGATCTTATAAATACTTTGTACCAGACACCAGATCAGTTAAGACCCTCTGTCTGCTGATTAAAGGGGCGGATTTATCCCAATTGTTGTTTTAACAATGTGTAGTTTCTCCCATGGAGTGTTCAAATTGTCTCCAAAGACAACAGATAATTGGCAGGTGGCGAATAAGTAAAGAGAGCTGCAGCTGAAGGCGTCTCAGAAGCCAATCAGCAGACAGGACTCAGTCATGTGACTCAACCGAAGCACAACAACCTGCTCACAGCCAGATACTGAGCTCCAGATCAGAAGCTCTTTATTTACTGCATTTCACTGATCTACCACACTCACTTCTTCCATCTCATTAGCTTTATTCTGTTTATCTCTCTCTGTGTTTTTCATTTCTGCCTTTAAAATCTGTTTCTCTCTGATGCCTTTTGTTTCCCTCAGTATTATGTTGCTTTGGCTTGTACAGAAAATGGGCTGTTCAGACATTGGCCCCCTATTCAGGGTTCAGCCTGAGGGCTAACTAAGCTCAGGGCTCCTCAGACAGTCTTTAGGTTTGCCTCTTGTGCTACCAGCCGGGGAACCTTAGTGATGGGGAGATGAAGCTTCATAAATAATGAAGCGTTCCACCTGATTGGTTCACTCATGAGGCTTCATGGGGCTTCATTTGCTCTGTCGTCCATCTAGTGGACAGTTAATGAGACTCTGGCTTTGGTGTCTGAACCCCTGAATGAATTATTCAATGATGTTTGTAATGCTGCCGTCCAGGGTCCCCCCCCCCTCTCCCCATTGGCTTCTGGGATAGGATCCAGCCCCCCCCCCCCCCCAACCCCATTAGGGAATAAGAGGTTACCATATTGGATGGATGGATGTTTGTGATGCTTATACATAAATGATAAGCTTTTATATGGTGTCTGTCTTTAGTATAGAATGACAGGGAGGCTGGAATAGATAGCTAACAAACTCGTAATTAAGTCCCAAGTTCACACAATGTGAGGGGGGGGGGGGGGGTCATTCACTCAATTTCAAATAGACGGCCAAACCGTGAACCCCTTCCTGAGTCAGTCCCGTGGTCCGGCCGGCTGCCAGGCTTCAGACGCCCCACAGCCAGTGGCCCCTCCTCCCTGTGGGAGCTCACCTGAGGCCTTCTCTGGTCCGCATGGGTTCTCCCGTAGTGTTCTCACACAGCCGTTGTGCACCGTCTCCGCCAAGCGCTTCAGGTCGTGCTCAGACTTATCCACCAGTTCAGCGTCCCGAGCGATGGCGTCCAGCCTGAGGGAGGACGGGGGGTGAGTGGACGGTAGCAGCTCATGTTGGGGTTCAAAATCAAAAACTAACAACAACACACCTTTCCAGTGGTCCGCCAAACTTCTTGTAGCTTTTGACAAACCTGTGGGGGGCAACAGACGTGTTAAACAGCATCCGGCGCCCCAGGAGGAAAGCCCGGTGGACCGGGTTTGAGATCCCTACCTGCGGATCTCAGCATCACTGAAACCTTTGATGTTTTCTCGTGGAATTGTCCGAGGTCGTCCTCTCTTTTTTGGTCTCTTTCTGTCTGATGGGGAGTCGCTGTCAGACCCAGAGTATCTCCTGTTCCTACTCTGCCGGCCCTCGGAGGAGTTAAAGCTTATCTGTGGGCAGAGACCAGGGTAATAGCTCAGACTAACAGAAATTAAGCTGGGTTTTTAAATAAAAAACAGTCAGGAGAAGCTCAATTCCTCCATGTTGATTACTTCCCAACCGTCACACATGCATGGCAGCTGTGTACCTGTTTGGCACAGTTCCTCATCCGTGGTAACATGTAGATTTCCTCAAGTTCCTTTTGCCTCTCCTCTTCCTCCATCCTCCTCCTCTGCTCCTCAGGAATGATGTCATCCCAGCTCCGGTGACTTCGCTCAGAGTCGATATCAATCTCCTCATCCTCCATCATGGAGAAGTTGGCCACCTGCGTGAGTCAGGCCGACACACAAAGCGTTACAGAAAGAGTTTTAATGGAGGCAGAAATGAACCAGCAGCCAGGATCTGACCTTGAACTGAGACAGCAGCTCCTCCCCCACTGTGGAGGGTCCGGGGTCATTCTCCCTGGTCTCGGCTCGTTTGAGGATCTCGTCAATGTCCATTTCCTTTACAGCACAAAAAAGTATGACATGAGCATCACCTCATAAGAGAACATCCATCTGGGACTGAAAACTGAACAGGTAATACAGGAGGGAGAATGTCTACAAGGAGGGAAACAACAACCATCAAAGTTCATGATAAACAACTGTTTTCAGATGATAACAGTAACTGTAATCCCTTCCCATGTAGTCAGACAGCTGCACTTTAACGGTGTGCTGACTACAGGCTGCTGCTTTTACAGAAAAGACCATGTTCCAAACATCTAAATGCTCCACGCATTGCTATAAGGAGACTGTGGGACAGTCATCTTTTATTTAAAGAACAGTTGGTAGACTTGTAAGACACACACACACGCATGGATTTACTACGGAGAGTCCAGCGGGCTGGAACAGGTGCTGAATACAGCATCGGGTAAAGGCACAGACAGGCTGCAGCTATTTCTGCAGGCACCAGGTTCAGCAGCTCACTGGAAGGAGAGTTTCCCACATGAGGACCAGGCTTGGAGCTGGAGGAATCCCAGAAAGCCCCATGTGACCTGCAGCATGCAGGATGCTGAGAGCTCCCCCCCCCATTCAGGGCACGTGAATGTTTGGCATTAATGTCCATGGGGCTATTAAATCCCCCCCCTCCCATAGCAAGGTGCCTGCACACCTGATGTAGCGTTTGAGGAGCACTCAACATGTCAGATCATACCTGAGGCTCCTGCTCTTCACCCTCCTGCTCCTTGAAAAGCTCCTCGGCACCAAACTTCAAAATGGCCGACAGCTCCTCCTTGTTGAACGGTGCAGAGCTGCATGAGACAGAAGACTCAGTGAGGTCTGGTCTGCTCTGGTCAGCTCTGGCAGCATGTGGCCGCTGAGCACCGGAGTCCAGCAGAAAGCAAAGAGCTGCTCACCTGGACGGAGCAGCGCCGGTGTGGAGGACCGTCTTTCCTGTGGTGTCCATTCTCTGGATGACCAGATGGTCCAGTACCATTTTCTTCTTGGCCCGCTCAATGATGTCCTCCTCAACTGAGCTTTTTGTTACCAGACGGTAGATGTTCACCTACCGGTCCACAAACAGACACAAGGTGTGGGTGTGACCTCAGAATCAGAAATACTTTAACAATCCCAGAGGGAAATTATTTTCCTTACACACTCCAGATATACAAACAACACCCACATATATATATATATATATATATATATACACATACATACATATATGTGTGTGTGGGTGGGACGGTTCACAAAATCCACGGTTCGGTTCGCTTCACGGTTTGGTGGTCACGGTTTTGGGTTCGGTTCGGTATATGTCGATTGTTAGGAAAATCTATTATGTCTTGTATAGTCAGGTTAAAACTGAAAGAAAAAAGCAGTCTGACATTTGATACATTATTGTGACAGTCTTAGGTTAAAAGTAGGTGAGATTCTGGCATTGCCAGAGAGGAAACAGTGCTAATTCCAACACATGCTTCCCTCTAAATGCAAAGTGGTCCCATACAGCAGAAACTGCTGCTGGGTCTGATTTTTATTATCGGCTACGCTGCTTCGCTACTTCTTCGTGTTTACTACTGGTGGTTGGCTTTGGGCGCAGTAGCGCCCCCTTCTGCTCTGGAGTGTACACGCTTCCCTCTGAGAAAAAGGAGCAGCAGGAACCGAACGCAACACACGCAAACCCAACCAAGACAGTCGAACCGAACGGTTCGGACGGTTTTCAGAAACCGTCCCATCCCTAGTGTGTGTGTATATATATATATATATATATACACACACATACACACACACAATATTCCACACAAAAATATAATTATATACATATGTAACTATATGTATATATACAGATCTAATATATAGTGATAATGAAAATGTGCAAAAGAATGAATAAATGTTAATAATCTTTAGTCAGAATTACAAAGGGGGGTGTCTGACTCAAACCCTAACCAAATACCCCCGCCCCCAAACAAAATCATCTGTGGGCACACGATACCCCCACATCCCGTCACAGAGCTCTAAAGCCAGCGGCTGAAATAGATCTGGCCTCCTGGGGTTCAGCTGTTCTACCCAGATGTGTTTTGGTTTAGACAGCAGAACTTAAGCTCAATGTTTGGGTAAAACACAAATGTCAGGGGATATCTGCAGCTCCACTTTGATCTAAAAAAAATCATTAACATCTAGCTCATTTAAATATTCAGCAGTAGCAGCAGTAGGGACGTCCCCATCCAGCTTTCTGATCCGATCCCGGCCTATCAGAGCCTGTACTAAAGTCTAAAGTTATTTATCTACTTACTTAGTTGTCAGACTCATGTTGAACAGAGATTTACTCTGATAACAACTTAATGGTTAGGACACAGACATGTGGTTACAGATGCTAATGCTAACGCTCATGTGGGATCGGACTTTAAAAAAAAAATGGATCTGGAGTATGCATCTGTGTTTTCTGCTGCCGGCCGATACGCAAAATTTTGCGAATATCGGCGGCCGATCCAGATATCCTCCACCCGGTTTGCTTAAACTGGAAACATTTAGCTGAGCCGAGGGGAGCCGGGGTTCTGACCTGTCTCTTCTGCCCGATGCGGTGGGCTCTGGCCTGGGCCTGCAGGTCGTTCTGGGGGTTCCAGTCCGAGTCAAAGATGACCACAGTGTCTGCCGAGGCCAGGTTGATGCCCAGACCTCCAGCCCGTGTGGACAGCAGGAAGCAGAAATCCTGGGAACACCAACTCACAGTCACTCTGCGAAATGCTCCATTTGCCTGTCATTGTGTGGATCTCCTACTGTACCTCGGAGCCCTCAGCATTAAAATGATCCAACGCCTGCTTCCGCATCTCCCCTTTGATGGAGCCATCCAGCCTCTGTCCAGATTCACCACATTCCAAAGTCAGAAAAATAAGGAGACACAGAACTGAATTACTAATTATCCTGAGCGGCTTCAGTTCGTATGTGTGTGACCTGCTATGGTCATGTGATCTGTTACGGTCACAGTACCTGAAACAGGAACTGCCGGCTCCGGAGGTACTCAGCCAGGATATCCAGCATCCGCACCATCTGGGAGAAGATGAGGACCCGGTGGCCTCGCTCCTTCAGCCGCACCAGCAGTTTGTCCAGAAGCACCAGCTTCCCACTGCTGCGGACGAGCAACTGGAAGGGAAAAAGCCACTCAGTCATCCGAACCCAGAGCAGAGAGAGCCGGATTCACCGGGCTCATCCACACAAGGCTTACAGAGCCAGCCTAAAGGTCCTCACATGACAGCAAACAGGCATTAGTGCTAAGAAATGAGAACATTCAAGAGCAATCTGCTGCTTTTCTTAGCCAGGGTTTCGTTTCTATTCACACTCTATGATCTAGTCCGTAGGTCTTCAACAGGGGGTCCTGGAGGTACTGTTGGGGGTTCACAAGAGTTTTGGTTGATTAGACTTTTTTTTTTATACTCCCCCCTGCAATGTTTTCCACTAATGTAAATGTGTTTAAATCCACATGAAGTCATCAGTCATCAACGCTCACATTCAGCCACACACAGGAGCTTTATCTATCTATCTATCTATCTATCTATCTATCTATCTATCTATCTATCTATCTATCTATCTATCTATCTATCTATCTATCTATCACACAGGAGCTCTTTCAAGCTGGGCCCCGTTTCATTCACAACACCTGTCCCACCAACCAGGAACCAGAACCAGATGTTTACAGGAAAAACAGGAAGATATCAACCTGTGGATTACCTGAGGATCTTAGTACTGAATGCCCAATAACAAGGGACATTTACACACTATAGGACCAGTTTGATACAACACTATTTCAGACAATATATAGAAATAGGGGGTCCCCCTCTATCAGTTTGGGGGTCCTGGGCCTGGAAAACCTTGAAGACCCCTGATCTAGACTTTAAATCGCTCTTTTTAACTGCGTTCTAACTAGTTTGAATCTAAATACATATTTCATTTTGGTTTGGTGCTCGGGATAAAAACTAACCCTAACCCTAACAGAACCAGAGCAGTGGGCCATGAACACATCACAGGAAGCCTTCTGTGGTCATGTGATGCCCATCAGCTTTATCAGGTTTGTTTTTATTAACCCTACAGGACACAAATGGCTGTTAACATGTCTGTCAGACAGCTGAAACTGGCTGAATAATCAGCACTTGGGCCCAGCCAGCCACTGGGTGGGTCACAGCATGTCTGCCTGTCGTAACAGGCTGCGGCCACTGGGGGGCAGTCTGAGAACATGTGGACAAAGCTGGAGCTGAAAAACTCACTGCAGCCGCTGTCACAGCTCTAATCTGCCTCTTGGTGCTCCTTCCTTCTTTTTACAAATGGGGCCCGCTTTAGACCACTCTGAACTCAAGAGGAGGCCCCTCCCGGGTTTTTAGGATGAAGAAAGACCAGCACAGAGGCAGCGTAAACACACCCACCGCTGTGCCTCTGTCCTGATTTAAGGGGACTTTAACATCACTCCGTCCTAATGATGGCATGAACATACTCTGAAGCAGGTTCCCAAAATGGGGAAAGGACACTTGTGGAAATAGCCCAAAAGCACAGGACTGTGAAAGGTGAGCACCTGTAAGGCTTCGGCTCTGTTGAGGAAGTCGTTGTCGTCCGGAGGCTTGATGAGGTAACAGTGGTTACAGCACTTCTTCAGCTCCATCATGATGTTCAGGAAGCCGGACGTGCTGCCTTTGACGCCTTTACTCAGAGCCTTGTAGTTCCTGGTCAGGATCCATCTAAAGCACAGGAAAAAACAACTACTGTGAGAATATTTCTGAGGAAACACATAAAGCATACAACAGGAAGCATATGCTACTTCTTTTGTGAAAGAGAACACATTATTTACATGAACATATCAAAGGTTCTGATGGACTATGGAACTGGGCCGTCCATTTTCATGGAGCCAGATCATACAGCCCAAGCTTCCTGTTCTGTAGAGTTTAGCTCCAGACAGCCTCGGGTGAGGCTCTGACCACACCGAAACAGCAGCCTGATCTACAGCTGCTTAAACACCTCATTAAAAGCCACCTGACTAAGCTGATACTCACACTTGATACCACAAATCAACGGCTAACCGACTCTGGGTGCGACAAGTGACACAAAAAGGCCTTCAAAAAAAAAAAAAAAAAAAGAGTTTTCAATTGAACCCTAACCCTGCTTTCCCAGCAGCATCAGAGCCCCAGACTCAGGGGGCTGCCAGTGGAAAGGGCTGTTACCAGAACACTGACTTCTGAGCTCATTCAAAAAAAGTCTGTGAATCTCATCCAAGCTGCAAAAGTTCAGTTTAAGCAACTGGACGGGACGTTTCCTAGAAGACGTTTCGCCTCTCATCCAGGAAGCTTCTTCAGTTCTGAATCTCCTCCCAGACTTTGGTCTGTAATGTGCAGCACCATAAGAGTAACTGATTTCCTTTAGTGGCCTCATTTCCGTTCTACAGTCCATACTGTGCTCCCCCTGGGGGCCGGCCCCAGAAACCAGCCACACAGACTGATGCTGAAACAGCTCAGAGACATTCAAACCTGGCAACCAGCCGCCCCTTCAAACAGCCGTATGAAACCCAGATCCTTCTACAAGGCAGCAAACCCAACAGAGACTCAGTTTCTCCAGATCTGAGCTTCCACCCCCAAAACCTCCAGCCAACACCAGAGAATGAGCTGTGACCTTAATGTAGGAATCCAGAGGAGATGCCTCTCTGAATCCAGGCTGCCTGGAGCTCTGGGTGAGGTCCAGCTCTTACTTGTAATATTGTTTCTGGATGGCAGTCATCTCCACCCTGAGGATCTGCTCCACTTTGGCTGGCAGGGATTTCTCCACGTCCTTCTTGACTCGGCGCAGCAGGAAAGGTTCCAGCTCTTTGTGCAGACTGGTGTAGCCCGAGTCTCTGCCTTTCCCGTGCTCGTCCTCAAACAGCTCCCAGGAGTGGAACCTAGAGACACAACACAGTGAGTCCCACGGCTGAGTGGAGCCGAAGGGCCAAGCTAAAGGACCCCAAGCAGTGAGAAGAAGGGAGAGCTTCTCACTTAGCTCCACGAGCTGCAGCACCCAGCCCTTTGTTCCATTAATGCTCATATTTTAATGAGGAATTATTCAGATTTAAAAGTATAAATACGTCTTGGCATAGTTTAGAAAGCCAAAGGAATCAGTCACAAATGGTACACTGTTGTTATTAAGTTATTTTCTCAACTTTGTTCTAGGCTTGTCCCGATCCGATATCTGGATCCGATCGGCCGCCGATATTAGCAAAAGACTGTTGCAGTTTTTAAAGTCTGATCCATGTTTTCCAGATTAAAATAATCCAATCCTGATGCTGAGATAATAGACTATTTTCTATTCAGGTTGTTTGTGTGTTTTGCCTTTTTAACACAGTTTACAATATTATTGTCACTCGTTACTGTTCACTGATGCCATTTCCATTAGTTACCTATAATTTGGTCTTCTGTCTTTGTCCCTGAGACACTGACCCACAGTTCAGTGTCTCTTTACCAACCACTGTGTGTTATTCAGACTCCCCTAATTCAGCTGGCTAGTTGTTATCAGAGTAAATCCCTGTTCAACATGAGTCTGACAACTAAGGAAGTAGATAAATAACTTTAGACTTTAGGACATGCTCTGATAGGCCGGGATCGAATCAGAAAGCTGGATGGGGATGTCCCTGCTTTGTTCCACCTTTGCTCTGGCTGCCTGACTGAGTGAGCGTTGGTTCCCAGACGGAGTAAAACCTGGACCTACTTCTCGGGCATGATGAAGTGCAGCAGGGACCAGAGCTCCTTCAGGGAGTTCTGCAGCGGCGTGCCTGTGATCAGAAGCCTGTGGTTGGACTTGAAGTCGATCATGGTCTTGTAGAGAAGGGAGTCGTCGTTCTTGAGGCGGTGAGCCTCGTCCACTCCGATGAAGGCCCAGTTCACACTGCCTAGAAAGGACTGGAGACACACAGGTTATCACAGGGGGCCCGGCAGCACCACTCTGCAGAGCTACTGGGATGGAGGCGGGAGAAGGAGGGGCGGGGCAGCTGCTGACCTTGTCTTTGAGGAGGATCTCGTAGGTTGTGAGGAGGATGTTAAACTTCAGCCTCTTGCTGTGCATATGCATCCACTCATGGGTTCTGATCTGTGAACAGAGAGCAGCTTTAGAGGAGGGCAGAGCAGGAAGCTGCAGCAGGAGCTGCTGCTGGTCCAGCTTTACCATGTTCCTGCTGCTGATGTCCCCCAGGTAGACCACGATGTTCATCAGAGGGGCCCACAGGTGGATCTCCCTCTGCCATGAGGTGACTGTGGACAGAGGCACCACCAGCAGGAAGGGCCCGTACAGCTGGTGCTCGTGGAACAGGTAGTTGAGGAAGGAGATGGTCTGGATGGTCTTCCCTAGGCCCATCTCATCAGCCAGGATGCAGCTGTTGCCCCTGTGGACAGAGCAGAGCCCAGAGGTCAGGCTGTGGGACAGCTCAGTGTTCTGGGTCCTGTCTCAGTGGGTGGGGGGGGGGGGGGGGGGGGGGGGGGGGGGGCACAGAGCTGGAGGGGCTTCAGCCATACTTGCTCCAGGAGTGGGCCATCCAGTTCAGACTGTCCAGCTGGTAGTCTCTGAGCTCCAGCCCGTCTCCCCCGATGTAGGAAGGCTGCTTCTTCATGGGCACAAACCTGGGCCTCTGTTTCAGCACCTGGTGGAGAGAGGACCAGCACAGCTCTGGTTTCAGGCCTTCTTCACAATGTAAATACAACCAAATACAGGATGTACTTTAACCATGAATCAGTTTGACACTATAAATCAATCTGCTGCCTAAGTGCATCTCCTTAATCTGCTCTGGGAGGTGTGGTAGATTGGATTTAGGGCCCAGCTAAGCTTCTGGCACAGGCTGGGCTCACCTTGCTGTCTCTGAATGGAATGGTCTTGGACTGGTTCCTGCTCATGTAGTCATCAATGCATATCTGGAACTTCTTGGCGATCAGAGCACCATCCTCCCAGCTGCACTCCGAGTAGGGCAAGCCCTGCCACTTGCAAAGGTAGTCTGGGTAACCCGCAGCCGACTTCTGGTTTGAATGTCCTGCTCAGAGAATTCAGACAGTTATGGACTGTGGCACCAAACCCACATAATGTGCCCGGTTCACTGGGCTGAGGACCCCGCAGTACCTATGATTCGCTCTACGAGCCGGTACTGAGAGTGCAGGTCGTCCATCAGTTCTTCCTGACAGTTGAAGTATTCGATATCTTCCGGTGAAGCTGCCTTTAACCTGCAGAGGAAGAGGCTCGTTAGAAAGTTGTCAGAAGGTGCAATACGATCTTTAATGGTTGACTCAGAGTGAGCTGCTGGACATGATGCCGGTTTATCTACGGCCATCCCTTCACTCACAGATCACACCGTCCTCTATTATGTGTTAACGGGCTGACTAACTTCACCTTACCAAAGATGTGGGGCGAGCCCAGGATCAGGCAAAGGGGGTGAAAAAAATTTGAGGAGAACCTCTACTTCTGATGCCTAAACATACAAATTTTCCAACTTACGAAGGGAAATTCGATCAAATATTCGACTAGACACTCGAAATACATTTCCAGCATATGATGTCAAAGTCATAGAAAAACATTTTTAATATATAAACTAAATAAAATTAAATAAGTTAGGGTAGAGAAGGTGAGAGTAAGTTAGGGTACGTCCTGTATCTCAGTCTCTACCTGCTAATAAAACCCCTTTTTATTGATTGTTTCTATTAACATGTATTAACATAGAAGTCGACCTGGAACCAGTTAAACTCACATGTAGAGGTTCTGCTGTATATTTAGAAAGTGGTTTCTTCAGCCTGACTGGGGATTTTCCTCTAGAGAACTTATTGTTATTTTGATGATTAAAGTAATTTGTGTCTACTTTGCAAGTCTTCTAAATGCATAAACAGAAAGATAAACATAGGCTTTGCCCTGTAGCTGAGGTGTAGTGACAGCTGAAATGCGGTGTGGGGAAAGTTTCCTTATTCTGGCACCATCTCATTAATGAGTGTAAATAACAGAAATCCATGTTGTCCCACCACTTTTTCCGCTCCTGTTCCTTCTTCTTAAAGTTGTCCAGTTTCTTCATGCCCCTGACATTCTGGATCTTCAGAGTCTCTTCCGTCTCCCAGGTGTTGTGGATGTGGGCCCAGTTCTTCCACTTGATCAGATACTGGACATCACCCGCCTCTTTGCTGGGATTGAAGTTGCCGTTGGGGTCTCCATCTGCCTCTATGGCATAGACCGTGGTGACGCTTCCTGTGGCTGTAAAAGACAGAGGTACAGCGTATGGTTCCTCTGGTCCTGGGGACGGGGGACTGGGGCTGGAGCTCTGGAGCCAAATCCCCCAGCACCCCCTGACTGACACCCCATCACTTCCTGCTTTAATCCAACAGAGGCCGACAGCGTTTCTTACCTCGTTTCCTCCCTACCCGGCAGTCCATCACCCTCTCAATGGTTTCAAACTCATCTTCCTCAGGCTGGGGGACGTCCTCCCCCAGAACCTCCACCAGATCGTCTGAGTCCGTCTTCATCTCGTCGTCCTCCTTGTAGCTGATGTTGACGGTGGCCTGCCGCCTGGGCCCCGCTGATGCCATCTTCATGTAGTTGTCGTTCTCATCCTCGGAGGAGGAGCCTTTCTGGGCTTTCTTCCTCTGAGTGCTGCTTTTCTTTCCATTCCGAGAAGTCACTCTGAAATGACAAGATGAGAACGGGTAGTAAAGCCCCTCCGCTAGCTGCTCCAGATCCAGTTTTTTAATTCTGATACCTGTTTTCCTGATTAAAGTAATCCAGTCCTGATGCTGATGAGTTAATAGACTATTTTCTTTTCAGGGCGTTTGTATGTTTTGCCTTTTTAACACAGTTTACAATATTATTGTCACTTTTTACTGTTCACTGATGCCATTTCCGTTAGTTATCTATAGTTTGGTTTATTTTCTGTTTCTCCCTCAATAAACAGGTCAGTGTCTCTTTACCAACCAGTGTGTGTTACTCAGACTCCCCTAATTCAGATGGGTAGTTGTTATCAGAGTAAATCCCTGTTCAACATGAGTCTGACAACTAAGGAAGTAGATAAATAACTTTAGACTTTAGTACAGGCTCTGATAGGCCGGGATCGGATCAGAAAGCTGGATTGGGACGTCCCTATCTCTTACACTTCACCAGACGTCTAGCAGTTTGGTTTAAATATTTTCTGAAAGCTCTGAAAGCCTCAGAGCCTCCAAACACAGAGGGCTGATGTCAGTAATGGCTGCCACTCGCATGTCAGACAAGTACGCTTCTGTCTTCGTTTGAGAGACTAAATGTAGTTCACGCGCTCCAATAAACGATCTCCATGTTTCTTTGTGTGCTGTTAAATCTTAACACGGCTCCACTTTGATCAGAACATGATACAAAGCCTTAGACATTTGAATGCTGAGTGGGATGTAGGCCAAACAACCACAGAAATCAGATGTGTTTGGGACGCTCACGTTCAGCCAGATTACACTGGATGAGGCGGCACGGTGCACATGCTAACCCTAAACCTAACCTAACCCTAAACCTAACCCTAACTTAACCCTAAACCCAGTTAAAGGCTCAGCAGGGGTCACTCAGCAGATTCTTCATTGGAGGAAGACAAGCTGGTAAAAAGCCTTGAGCTGGAGGTTCATTCATGCTTGGCTACAACCTCATTACATGCACAGGAAAGAGTGAATCTCTTCATTTAGTTCTGCAACAAAATAGTAATACTGAAATTTCAGACATGTACTCTGTGCCGTGGACTTAAAACTAAATGAGCGATTAACAGAAAGTGCTTAGACCTGCCCTGGCTGGGTGTAAGCCTCAGTCCAAACACCAATCTGTGGCGTGTGCCAATAGAGCTGTAGCTGTAGGCTCTCTCCACACTAGTCCTGTGGATTTCTGTGCATCTGGAGGGAGGCCATGAGGGTGGCCAACTGTCCACTTACTTGGTTGGAGGTTTTCTGCATTTGAATTTATGACTGGGTTCATAATCAGATGCTGTTTCGTTGCTGTTCTCATCTGGAGACGAATCTGATTCTGAATCACTCCCAGATCCAGAGCCAGATCCAGAGTCCGAAGAGCCGGAATTCCTTCTTCCTTTGGATCCACTCGATGAGTCGGACTCATCACTACTTGAAGAGTCCTGAAACAGATGAACCCAAGAGACAGATATCACCAGACGGAGGAGAACAGGAAAGGCATCTGATTACTGTCCAGTCAGGGATTTTACCCCCTAAAAGGGTTTTCAGAGCTGGTCTGGAGCATCTCCCCTTCCTGCTGTCTATCGAACTACTTGGTTTTGGTTTTGTTTTTCATATCAGGGGCTTAAATCTTACTGGTTGACATTCAGAGACCTGCCCAAAGCATGTACAAATCCTTTCCACAGCCCCCCTGATGATGCTCAGCTGTTCTGTGTTTATGGACTAAGATCTGAAGACATTCAGACCTCATTTAGCAGGGCTTTAACACACGTTACCGTCCTGACATGTTCCAGTCAGGCCAGGTCTCAATCTGGACTTCTTATTGAGATGTTAAATCTGCCGTTGGTTTAATGTAAAGAGGAAGTAAACACATTTTCCAGAGAATCAGCTGACTCTGGGCACATCTTTCTGGTGGCCAGCGTGCTCCTTCCTGCCCTCACGGGGCATTCGGACTAATGCAGAAGCCACAGAAACCAAGCAAATGGTCTCATGTGCTGATCTCTGTGCTCTCCTGGAAAATCCAGCTACTTCCAGCAGCATGTGCTGCACCCCTCACATGCCCAGACAGCAGAGGGCGTTGTCAAAAGGAAAGTCTGGAATCATGTGACAGGAACTAAAGAAAAGGCCACATGAAAACCAGCCCAGGTTCTGCTGGACATGGTGTTTGAGTTCAGCTGAATCTGGTCAGAGCAGCTCCCTCTGCAGACCCCACAGAGGGGAATACTCTGGCTTTAGTTAAACGAAGAAGTTCTCTGTTGTTTCTTCACAGGACAAACTGAGACCTGGTTTAAGCAGAGAGCGGCTGGAAGCAAACCTCATCAGATCCACTGTTGGAGGAGCCCCGTCTCTGCTGCTGCTGCTGCTGCTTCCTGAGCATAGCAGACCTTTGCACTGCGAGGATGCTTGGGTTGGACTTCCAGAACTGAAAACAATCCAAGCATTAAAAGTTATTCACACATTTGAAAACAAGTATTCTTATTCTGCTGTGAAAAACTGAGAAGGTTAATATTTTGAGGCAGTCCCGAGGCACAGAGCGAGAGGTGAGACTAATTAAATACCTCTAACCTAGCGGAGAACTGGAAGAAACGATTAGAAAAGTAAGCAAAGCCCTGCTGTCAGACAGGCTGAGTTACCTCTGCTCCGTCAATGTTGGACTTATTCTGCGGCTCCGTTTTCTCGTTGGATTTCTCCGTGTCCGAATCCGATTGGCTACCAGAGTCTGAGCCACTTCCTGAGTCACTGCTCCCTGATCGGCTACTGCTGCTGGACGAGCTGGAGCTGGAGCCCGATCCACAGGCTGAGCCCGACCCAGAACCAGACTCATCGTCTGAATTACTGTTGGACACAAAGATATGATGATAAATGAGATGATAAATTATGAGACCGATCCCTCTCAAATCAGAAAATTGAAGCCCTTTCAAAACACAAGAAACACCCCCCCCCCCTCCATTTTTCCCAAATATGCAGGATTTTTTGGTGTTTCATGCACAAAAGAGCTGCCTGTTGTTTTAAACATGCCTCTGCAATAATTGGGATGATTTTCAACCATCAATCATTACAGGAAGAGCCTGATTTCATTAACCTTTCGTCATTTGTGCATAAAAATGAGACACACAAACAAAAGCGAAGAACAGAAAGAAAAAAACAACGTAACTCTAAAACAAGCAGAGGCCACCTGGGCAGGACATCACAGAGGGAACAGGCCTGACTGCCCACTGAGGCTGTACTGGGCCCAAGCTGAACACTAGCTCAGATACAGCCATTCCTCATCCCCCCAATGGTAGATAGTAAATATGGACAGTGGGCTGGATGTTTTTAAAATCCCTTCATCTATACTTTTATTTCCATTCGGCGTAATATAGTAAATATATATATAATATATATATATATATATATATACTAGAAACAGCACTGCTACAGCCTTATGCTTCCCACAGATGGACAGTTTCCTCCGCTCTAAAAACACTAAACCTGAGTGGAGGAGACAGCAGAGGCCCCAAAGCTCTGCTCCGGCCTCAGTGGTGAGAAGAGGAACGCCTAGCGGCTTCTTTCACGACTTAAATCTGGACCAACACAACAACATGTGGCTCCAGGCTCTGTATTCAGCTGGTTACCATGGTGATACGTCCTTCCAGTTTCCCCCCTACCTATACTCTGTACAGCTACAGTCACCTGGACTGTCAGAGGGCTTTCCCCAGAAGCTGTGAGTGGTAGATTTGGTGGAGACCCGTAGGGCCATCACGCTTTACCTGGATTCTCCACTGCTGTTACTGACACTTTCGTCCTCGCTGCGTCCAGCCATGATCAAGTTCAAATCACAGGGCTCACGAGCGGTTGGCCAATGCTCCACCAAATGAACCTGAGAGAGAAGACAAGCATTAACCAGCATGGACACATTGGAGTGAAGGCTCTGCTCAGTGCGTGAACCCAGGCGTTCTCGCTCATGTGCAACCCTCCCTGTGGTGGCAGAGAGCTGCTGAAAGCCTGTTTAAGCTCAGACAAACGGAGAAAAATGACATAATGCACGTGCTCGTGTAAGGTAAGGTCAAATGTATTAGCAGCCCAGCACGTCCCCGCTCCCAAGTTCCACCGTGTGGTCAAAGCCCTGTTTAAAGAGAGCGTGTCCACCGCGGCTGGAGCCGAGCGGCCGGTGTGAGGGGCTCTCAGCTCGGCTCGGAGCAGAGCAGAGCTGTCGGGAAACGGTGACTACAGGGAAGTCGGATCACCGTTTGTTCCCCAGCGCGGAGGCCTAGCAGGCCCGCACAGTCCCAGCGGGACCCGGACTCCCCACAAACACCCCGAAACCCCCCAAACACACATTAAATAACCGACAACATCCCGCAAATCACAGTCTGTTAGCATCCCCGCGCCGCCTCACCGGCTATAGCTCAGTCTCAGTGTGGCTACAGGTGAAATTGCTGCGTTAGCTTAGCCGCTAGCAGCTAGCTAGCTAGCGCCGGCTACCGAGGCTAATAGAGGCTCTTGGCGGGGCTCCGTGGAAGTAATATATGCAGACCCTGCCAACGCGCCAGCCGGGCTCCACAATAACCCGGGACAGGCTGTCCCGCCGTCTGTCAGGGTCTGCACAGGGACGCTGTTTTATCTCACTGCAGCGTGTTGTGGGTCGGTATTATGGTTTCCTCATTTTGGAAGCCTTTACTCCAGGAAGACAATAAGTAGTCCGTTTGGGGACAAATTAAACGGCATATTCTGAGACAGCGTGGAATAACAGCGGCCTGTTGGGGTCCAGCTACACCGTGTAGGCAGTAAACATGAGGCCACGGATCACAGCCCTTTTTTATTGGTGTTGTCAACGAGAGTAGCCCTGGCGGCTAACCGTGTGAAGCACGAGTCTGTATGGAAGCTAACAAAATGACTAAACTTCGCCAGACTAACGAATGGCCCGGCCACGGGTCGCTTCCTCCCCTCAAGTAATACTAGGCATTCAGCGGCGGAAATAGCTACCTATGCAAATCTCCTGGCAAATGCGGGGCCGCCGCATAGCTGAGCTGAGTTTGTATTCATTCTTAAACACAAATTAGCTTAGGCAACTTCACTCTCTTCCATCTTGTTTTCATTCGCCGCTCACTTCTCGCGGTTTTTACCACATCAACATGCAGCTCACTTTCTCGTTCATTTACCTCTAGAAACTCCACGCCGCTCGTTTCCTGGTCTTATTTGGTGTGGCCTATGAAACGCAAATAAAACTAGTTGTCAAGACCCACCTTTGCACCTCAGCCGTCCTTTCTTCTTGTGTTTAAGTGGTGAGCTGGCAGCTGCAGGTAGCTAACGAGGCTAGCTGCTAGCTAGCGATACCTCCCGGTCAGGGAGAGCAGCCCGAGTGGCTTAATCCGCTTTAACTTGGGGAATGTTAATTTTCCTCTCCGTTCAGTAAATCCAATTTCCTTTATACGGTAAAAGCGAAGTCAGTGTCCGTCAGTCAGCAGCATTAGCGGAAAAAGCTGACTTTTCAAGCCAGAGACTTCCACCAGCCGGCCTCCGCCATGACGCCGTAACGTTCACTCCACTAGGAAACCCTGTGACGTCACGTCCTCAGCGTAACAACAGTAAACATCTGCTCACTCCTCATAGTGTAACAACATCTGCTCACTCCTCACAGTGTAACAACATCTGCTCACTCCTCACAGTGTAACAACATCTGCTCACTCCTCATAGTGTAACAACATCTGCTCACTCCTCATAGTGTAACAACATCTGCTCACAGTGTAACATCTGCTCACTCCTCACAGTGTAACAACATCTGCTCACTCCTCACAGCGTAACATCAGTAAACATCTGCTCACTCCTCATAGTGTAACAACATCTGCTCACGGTGTAACATCTGCTCACTCCTCACAGTGTAACAACATCTGCTCACAGTGTAACATCTGCTCACTCCTCACAGTGTAACAACATCTGCTCACTCCTCACAGAGTAACATCAGTAAACATCTGCTCACTCCTCATAGCGTAACAACATCTGCTCAGTCCTCACAGAGTAACACCAGTAAACATCTGCTCACTCCTCATAGTGTAACAACATCTGCTCACTCCTCACAGTGTAACAACATCTGCTCACTCCTCACAGTGTAACAACATCTGCTCAGTCCTCACAGAGTAACATCTGTAAACATCTGCCCACTCTCTCACGCACACCTTCCTCCTCACCATGGAGACACGTGCACAAGTTGGCTTCACCTTCTTCAGGCGCGAGGCTTTCCTTTAGGAATCAGGAAACTTAATCATACATGCTGTCACACTCCTGCACGCGCCGCTCTCTCCGGACTCGTGCGCGTGAAGGACCGGCACGCGGTGCGCGTGCGCTGTACCGTCCTCACGCCGGCTGTTAGGCCCAGCCTCCGGTGTCCTGCCGGGGGGGTGAGGGTCTGTGGGGCAAAATAAAAGTTTGAATTCAGCACGTGACTAAAATATTCAAAATGGAAGTATGGGAGCATGTATTCTGAGTGTTTTCTCGTCTCATGGACGTGACCGTCGCAGTGAGCCGTGCTCGTCACGTCCCCCGCGCGCAGCAGCGCCGCCTGCCGGCCGCGCGCCGGACGGAAGCTGCTCCATCCCCAAATCAGCCCCAGCAGGTCCGGGTCCCGCTCAGCTCCAGCACCACACTCCATCACGCGCATTCCTGCTCAGGCACGGAGGCCTGGGGGCGGATGCGGCGGCTCAGGGCGGAGTGAGGGCGCGTGGGGATGCGGACCAATGGGAAGTGGTCAGGGAGCGTCCCGCTCACACCGCCGGGCTGCAGCCGCGCGCGCTGACCGGGGAACACGCACGGACCGCGGTCCACGGGGTGAGTACACTCCACCGATCCCTGTGCACGAACCCGTGTGCACGGAACCGCGTGCACGCCGTCCTTCAGGGACGCAGCTTGAGCCGCGGCCGGAAAGTGTCGGTGTGGCGCGTTAATGTCCCAACTGAGGCCGGACACCGAGCCCCGTCACCGGGCTGGCAGCGTCCACCACCGGCCCCCGCCGGCCTCCCGGTCCTGGCTGTTACAGGCCGGAAAACAGGCTGTTACAGGCTGTTACAGGCTGTTACAGGCTGGAAAACAGGCTGTTACAGGCTGGAAAACAGGCTGGAAAAGAGGCTGGAAAAGAGGCCGATCCAGGCTGTTACAGGCCGGTGGAGGGGGGGGTTCAGGTGACTAAGGATCTGCTGGATGAGGAGCTTTGTGGGTTCCACAGCTGGAACAGAAGTACTGGCAAACGCTCTGATATTAGAAGGATTGATTCATTTTAAATGGAGTTCAATTCATTCACTTATTCCTGGGATGGCCACGGGAGCAAGAGGGCAAACCAAATATCCCTGAACATAATCAATAACACATTTATCCATATTAAGAGGTCGCCCTTACTTAGCCTATTATAAAACCCAGAACCAGGAACTGGAGTCTCTGTTTTCCTATTGGCTGTTCTCCAGATGTTCATGTTTCAATAGATCAGTCGTCCCTCCTGACCCTAACCCTAACCATAACCCTAACCCTAACCATAACCCTGACAAAGTCAAAACCAGAACACACACATTTGTGGGGTGTGTGTTTCATGGTAGAGTTCAGAGGAACTCCCACTGAGGGGCATTTCCCCGGCCCAGCAAACAGAACAGAACCAGAACAGAACAGAACCAGAACCTGTGTCCTGTGTGCTTTGTGTCTGATACCGTAGAGGATTCCTGTAAAGACAGGGACAGTCCTGGACAGTCCTGGACAGTCCTGGACAGTCCTGGGTGGGTCCTGTTCCTCTCTTTTCTGTGTGCTTACACTAAAGGTTATGCTAGCTTAGTTTAGACTCAACTTCATAACTGATGCACATTTCTCTGTCTGTTGTTTGCTGAGACGTTCTTTGGGTAGAATTAGGCTCAGCCGGGGGAAGTGCCCCCTCTGGTGGGTCTGTTCTGAGTAGATCTGAAGCCTGGGACTGTCCGTGCAAAGATAAAAAGCCTCTGAGAGTCATAATGCGTCTCACCTTATCGGCATGTGTGTGAGATGTGAAACTGTGTGTGCAGCTTTGGGCCCCTGCCCCATGTGGAAACAGTTCCACATCTGCACAGGTCTCCTCTCCTCTCCTTTCTGTCTCAGTGGGGACGTTTCCCACTTGGAGCCACAAGGTGGCGCTAGATGGAAGAGAGTAAAATATGCTGGTTTTAATGGCTAGGAGCTCAGAATGATTTAGTCCAGACTCAGACAGGATCCTGTTTCTGACTGAGAGCTGTGTCTGCTCTGATCGTCCACTGGTTTCTGTTAGCTGTTTCTGGAGGGTGGACAGCAGCAAACGGGCTGATCTGATATCTGTGTTCATGTTGGGGGCTGGGGGAGGAACCCCACAGCCAGTCGAGCTTCAAAGGGAGGGAAGGAGCAGTGTGAGGCGTCTTCAGTGAGGCGGCAGCCCCGAGCCCGGCGGGCACACTCACATCACTCACACATTTCCATTTCTCCCCTCAGGGGCTCAGACGGGGGGGCTCTGGGCGGGTTATCTGCCTGCAGGAGAGCTACACGCACCAGCGTGACCTGGTTTGAAATGTCAGAGTGTTGCACAACAGCGTGCATCACCAGAACACCTGAGGCTGGTTCCTCCAGTCCCCCCCCCCCGCTGGTCTGAGGCCTCCGCAGGGTTTACTGTAACAAACCCAAACCTCTGGTCCCCCCCATCCACCCGGAACAGTCTCTGAAGTGTGAGGCGGTGGAGTGAGGAAGAGACAGAAAGACTTGATGAATGAGAGCAGCGTATCAAGCTGCTGCTCAGTCAAACCAAAGCATTTCACACCCGTGTGAGTCTGAGTGAGGCCTAACGGCCGTCCTCCATCCTGCATCTGCCTCAACTCAATGTGCAGAGAAGAGCCTCACTGAGAAGGAAAAAGAACCTTTCAAATATTCACCAGTGGAAACTTACCAGAGAGAAATTAAGAAAGTGATTATACATGTACGGACCCCCCCCCCCCCTCAGTTTTCATCACTTTCCTGTGAAACTGGGCTGAATTTGTCCGTCTGTTCCTGAGTCACACAGCTGCCTCCAGAGTTCAAACTGAAGCAGAAATGATGAAGAAGTGAGCGTCGGTGTGCAGAAAGCTTCCTGCTAGACTTAGACTTAGACTTAGACTTAGACAGCTGCCCGCTCTCAGCCCTCTCTTCAGCTTTTTCCTTCTCGTGTCTGACGGCCGAAAACCAACAGTTTGTTCAAACCGAGTCATTTTGTTTCACATATTAATGCAGCAGTCTGTAATACAAATGCAATTATATGATGTAAAACTCTGATGGACACTTTTTACAATTCTAATAATTTTGGGGGTTTATTTGTTTTCATCAGTTAGTATTTATTTTCATTCTTTTTGTTTATTTGCTTTCATAATTCTTTAATTCGGTCGGAATTTAGTGTAATTTTGCTTTTTCAATATTACTAACGTGTTGGATTAAGAAACCTTAGTTACACAATTGATAACACATTCATTACATAATAATTGAATAATTTTTTTCTTTCATTTTTGGAAGAGAAGATTAAAATCCTAACTAACAACTAATTAGTTTGGAATGTTTAATTAATAATGCTAAGAAATTGATGGAGTTAAATGACTTATAATTACTAAAGCTGAGAAAACCACTGAATTACTGCAAAAAAAATATCAGCAAATATATAAATGAATATAAAAAATACAAGACGTGTGCCAGAATAAATGTGAATTACTTTCAACCTTTCTAGACATTTAAAGCGATGTAAAGTGAAACCTGACGGATGTTTAGCGTGCCACAGTAAAAGTAGAGCTCAGAAAAGAGGAAACCTTCTTGACCTCACAGTCTCCCCGAGTTTTCTCGGCTTTGGCTGTTCTCACTTCATTTCCTGCTGTTCAGCTGACGTGTCGGTCAGTGTGCACATTTAAAAAAAGGAAGTGAAAAATTAAATAGTTAAGGAAGTTGTTGAAAAGAGGAAGCTTTAGAGCCCGACCACTCTACTGAGAGTCAGCCGGAGGCTCCCTGAGCGAGTCCCGCTGCCTCTAACCGGACTGGGACTGGGACATGAGCTCGCCTCTGCTCTGAAGGACTGAACCCAGCGCCGTGAGGAGGCTCTGGAGCTGCTGCCGGTGAGTGGAGACCTGCTGGCTGCTTTAGTGGGGTTAATCCAGCTGTTCCAGCTGTTCCAGATGCTGCTAGCAGCCCCCGTGGAGCTGCGGGGGCCAGGGGAACGTCTGTTTAAGCAGAGCTCACTTCAAACCTGGAAGAAAAATAAGAACAACTTGTATTTTTACAGTGATGATAACTCAGAACAGAACAATTAGGAATATAATAATATAAATATAACAATTAGGAAAGTTATCGTGATGTCTGGGACTATTTTTCATCTGTATTTTAGATTCCCGCTTCTTTTAAAAAAGAGCTTTCCTCATGTGGTTATTTTTGGTTCGCTTTAATATGGAACCAACATTTTGCTTACATTCAGCTGTCCGGTTTCACCTCAAACCTCTCACATACCGCTAGAAATGATTCATTTAGTAGACGATAAAACACACTCCCATGGAGTCCAACTCAGTCCTGTTCTGATTCAGAATCAGAATCAGAAATAATCCCAGAAGGAAATTAGTTTCGTTACACACTCCAGATATACAAAAACAACATATATATATATATATACACAACATTCCACAGAAGAAATATATTTCAAGAATATTTTATAGAATTGTTCAGCAGAAATGCTTTGACATTTTATTTTTATCTCCATATTGTTTAATAGTGAATGTATTGTCAGATGAAGTAAAATCTTCTTCCTTGTACATTTTATTGTTATTATTAAAACATAATTGGGTCCATTTTGAGGAGGTGATGGTTAAACCCTCCACAGACGGCACGGCGACCATGATGGGCCCGAAACGGAGAAAAGAACTCAGGAGGATTTTACTATTTCTTTTTAAGCAACTAGAGAAGCTCGAACAAGTTCTGTGTGCTGAAAAAGCTCTGAGCTTTAATCACATTAAGTGCTTATTTGATGTACAGGCTGAAATGTCATTCTCCAAACAGCCATCAGCCTCACGGTCAGCAGTGGCTGTTCTGGCTCCTTTATCTTCAGTTGTCTCAGACTCTGCTTTCTCATTTCATCTGGGTAGAGGACTGCTCCCCTTCGTTAGGATGCTTCTGAACAAAGCCCTCACATGTGCTTGAGCAGGAAGAGGACGTAGATCAGACTGATAGTTTCTGATGCCGGTGTTTGAATGAGAGAAAAGCTGGACTCTGATCATAACCTGCATGTCCAGCTGAGGGCACCTGAACACATCACAGAGTGTGAGCCGTTCTCCATCCCCACAGCTGCTCAGAAGGAGATGCACCATGCTGCCAGACTGTGTTTGTCTAATACAGCAGAACCTCTAAATATGATTTATCTGGTTCCAGGACCCACTTCTATGTTCAAATATTACTATGTTGGTATAAATACACTGTAATTCCTAGAATTGTTTCCAGAAACTTACGATAACTCCTTCATAAATACTGCAGATAATTACACATAGCAAGAAAAAAAAAGACTTCTAGAAGAGAGAGGTAAGAAATAATCAATAAAAGTTTTTTGTACTGCAAAGGGGAGGCGTGGGAGACGCTCGGTGTGGAGGTAGAGGTGAGATACGGGACGTACCCTAACTTACTCTAACTTTTACTACCGGAACTTTAAACTAACTAAGCTTAGTTAGTTTTATTTCATTTTTATATTTCATATATATTTTTCTATGACCTTGACATCATAGAAATAGTATGTTGGAAATTTACTTTGAGTGTCTAGTCGAATAGTTGATCAAATTTCACTTTGCATCAGAAGTAGAGCTTCTGCTGTACTGTGTCCAGCTTCTGGACTGAAACCTGTTTAATCGGACATATCCAGAAGCTCTAAAGCTTGTGGGCCCTCGGGCTGAGGAGGTCTTCACAGCAGGGGTCTCCGACTCCAGCTGCTTCCAGCTGCTGCTTCGTGGAGATGGTCCCCCCCCCCCCCCCCCCCCC